TTGAGACTGTAACACATTGATATTGTGTCTAATGTTCTGGATGACAAAGCGAAAGGCAACGAAAATGATTTAAAATGACTTTCCTTCTGTTGTTTGTCCCCCTACTTCTGAAATGATGGTTGCCCACCTCGGAATTAAGTCATATAATTTTGAGCCATAATCTTCAAAGTCCGAAGAGTTAGATAAGATTAGAGAAGGAAAGATGGCAGGTTCAGATAGAAAAAAATGATATTCCCAGAAACACAATGGTGAACTGTAGGACCCCAATGAGCAGACACAGAGGAAATTACAAGAGGAGTTACTGACTGAGAAGTGACTTGGCAAGCTCATGGTGTTGGCCAGCATCGCATAGACGCGCAACATGACACCGTTTGCGGCATGGCAGGAGTGCAGACTATTCTCCCCCCCCAAAAAAGGATGGGTTTTTTTGTTTGTTTGTTTTTTCCGCTAAATTACCGGTAAACATTGGTTAATTACAGGTAGGGCAGCACAGTGGATGACAGGGTAAGCATGTCCGCCTCGCAGTTGCAGAGATCCGGCCTTCCTGTGTGGAGTTTGCATTTTCCCCCCCTGTGCCTGCATGGGTTTTCTCCGGGTACTCCGGTTTCTTTTCACATTCCAAAAACATGCATGGCAGGTTAATGGAACACTCTAATTTGTCTGATTATGAGCGCGAATGGTTGTTCGTCTATGTGTGCCCTGCGATTGGCTGGCAACCAGTTCAGGGTGTCCCCTGCCGATTGCCCAAAGACAGCTGGGATAGGCTCCAGCATGCCCGTGACCCTCATGAGGATTCGCGGTTCAGATAATGGATGGATGGATGCGTGGACTTTTGCACTTGGTGGATCTCAATGGTTCTTGATGAAGAATCCGAATCCTGCTTTTTTGGCAAGGTGAAAATTGTTCCCAAGGTGAATTGAATGAGCTGATTTTTTTGAAATTCAAATGAGAATGATTGGAATATATGATGTTGAATGTCCCCGTTGGGAATGAACGCGGATTTTTGGTTGAACATGTTGAATTTTGGGGAACACTGGGAATTTCTGGAATAAGAAAAATACTAGCTTTCAACGGCAATGCGTGAATTCACGTAAGTTGTTGAAATTGTAATGAGAATCGGATGGATTGTGGAAAGTGGAAGTCGATGCAGTCCGACTGTGTGCATAACTGGAGTTTTCTCCAATCACTGCACTGCAGCGTACACAACACAAACACCCAAGCTTTGAGTGTCAAACAGTATTGCTTGGTGGAACCTGAGCTTTGAGATCCTATTGCTCTGACTGGCTGATATTTCTCGCAAAGTGAATTCATGAATTCCGTATACTGGTGCATGGTAGGCACCACAAGATTCAAAGCTCTGCTGCTTTCTCCCCACCTTGATGCCACATGCTTTCACCCTCCATTTATCTTCTCCAACACCCTAGATTCGCTCTTTGGCCCTTGGCAGCAATCTCGTTTTATGTTGGTAGTAACAGAGAAAAAGAAAAAAATAGAAGCTCAAACCGTCGTATCCTTCAAATGTTAAAAGCAAAAGCATCTTAGAAAAAAAGTCTCTTGGGAGAGCTTCTGAAATACATTTAAAAGTCAACACAGAATGCATTGCAGGCACCCCAAAGACAAAAAATCTTTTCTTCACGGCGTGTAGCTCTTGAATGAGTAAAACGTAGCATATAGACTAAAAATATGACAGTGTCATCCCCAAGGGGAAAGATAATAAATTATGTCTTCTGAAGAAACTGAAGAAAACACAAACACACATTTCACGCTACACACTGTCTTGAAAGGACAACTTTTATGTATCGACTATGAAAAAAAAAAGGATACCATCAAAGGCTGAATTTGGATGACATTTTGGAAGGAGCCTTAATCTTGCCAGTGTATCGTAATAGTCTGTCAAAGCCTATTATACATTAAACCATTCCATCCGCTGGGGTATTTCTTTTTTTTTGTTGTTGCTAAATACATTCACATTACTGTAAGAATACGAATATGTTATTTTATCATTGCATATGCGTTATACTTTACAAGCACTGCGCGGGTATTGTTTGAGGTAATCATCAGTGCCAGAGTTAACACGTGCAGGGACAGTGGTTACTGCAGTGGACAGCTTATCATGTTATCAGGTTACAGGGCGCATGAAAGGGTTAAGACAAAGGCAACCAAGTCAAGGTAAAGGCGTGTGTGTCAACATGGAATGATTGGGAGTGGGAATAATTGACAGCGTACCGGTCCGCTGTGACAAATGGATATTAGTATTTCATATTGTAATTATCAATACTGCTGTATTTAGCATCACTCGGCGTAGTAGTTGGCTCCGGCTTCTCCCATCTGGTGTGGGCCACAACAGCGAAAAAGAAGTGGATGCTGATATGTGAACAGGAAACATTTTAACACAGGGTGTCGGACTGGTCCCAAGTAGATCTGAGGGGTGTAGAGGAGAAAAAAAACAACCATTTGTCTGTCTCTGTACATGTCAGTAATATATTTTTTGTGTTAATGTACATTGCACCCTAATCATCCTATCAGTCTCATTTTCACAAAAAAATATTTAAAAAATAAAATAAAATAAAGCAGGTAAATATTTAACCTACGGTGACGCGTGACCAGCTTCCCCTAAAATGTCAAAAGATAAGTGATCAAATATATGTGTGTACATACAATTGTGTGTACATGTCATTGACTAAATATGCGCTACAACGCGCTCAACTTTTGTTGCGAATCAGCTTCTTATTACTGGTTACGACGCGACTCTCTTCTCATTCATTCCCGCAGCTTCACTGTGCTTTAAACTGTGTGGACGCTGAGCGTCTACAGCGCGGACGCTGGGCGTCGAGAGAGTTCAGGGTAGGTTGTCCCAATGCATTGAAATGAGACGAGTCAGTGGATAAATGCTGGTTTTGTCCCGCCCATTGGACGCTCAGTGTCTCTGGGAGTCTATGGACAGTGGGCATTTATGGGCGGGCCCGGACGCTCAGCTTTTCTGCATGATGATTGGATGATCTGTCCGAGGCGGAATCTCTTTTTGATTGACAGCAAAATGAGCCAATCACCGATCTTTTGGTGTATGCATCCGTGGGAGCATTTTTCAGCTCTCATTCTGTTCTGAGTTGAACTGGAGACTTCTAATAATCTTAGCGACACTCTCTTTGTTGAAAATGAATAGCGACAGATTAATATTTTATTTCTGGTGTGTTTTATTGTAGTTGCTTGTGCTCGCAGACTGACATATCACCACAGTTAAGACCCTGGAAAAGACGCCTTGTTGGTATGACAGGGTCACAGATCATTTTCTTGAAAAGGAACGGAGAGTAGAATTCCTGTATAAAAAACTGACACATTTTATGATGTAGGCCGAAATTGAGCTTCCCCTCCTTGACAGACCAGCATCCGCCACTAGTCACCAGAAGTTGTTAGCGCTCAGCAGTCTGCAATTGCAGCTTGTGATTTTAGCTGTTGCGCTATATCTTTTATCGTCATTATTCTCATCCAGAGTTTGCTTCGTGTACAATTCACCGAGGCGCGGGCAAAGAATAGGAATCTAGAAAGCTGAGGGAAGCACTTTCAAACGGTACGTGTGAGCTACAATCGTGAACAGGCTACAAAAGTGCATCGCATGCCTCCGTGTCAGGCTGTTTCTCATCATGGCGTGCGCGTGTGTGTGTGTGTGTGTGTGTGTGTGTGTGTGCGCGCGTGTTTGTGTGTGTGTGTGTGTGTGTGTGTGTGTGTGTGTGTGTGTGTGTGTGTGTGTGTGTGTGTGTGTGTGTGTGTGTGCGCGCGCGCGCGTGCGCGGTAAGGGGCGATCCCGGGAGGTTGGTTGATCGAAAAGTCCATCTTCGGTCCAAAAAGTTTGGGCAGTCCTGTTTTAACAGATCTTTAGTCAATGAGTCATTGGTGACAGGCAGGCCAAAGAGCACTATGAGGTAGCTATTTCCTGAAAGCACTTGTCTGAATGATGTCGAACTCAAACAGAGACCTGAAAATGAAGAATCATCACCTCTGTAAAAGATTACAAATTCTGAAATTCATTGTTGGAAAAACAAGTTACTGTACTTTAAGGCTGGTGTGCCCAACCTTTTTTGACCAAAGATCTACTTTTTGATCAACAAAACTGTTGCTGCACACACGCACGCACTTACACGCATGCCATGATGAGCAACAGCCATAACGGTCCCTAAGATGAATGAAACAGAAAAATAAACTAGACGGAGGAGTTTGTGGGTTTGTGAAAAGGAAATCACTGCCTACCTTCATCGAGACCTGACGAGGAGGCTTGGGGCACACTTTCGTAGCGTGCTAACAATCGTACCTCATGTGTACCGTTTTAAAATGCGTCTCTGGGCGCTCCGGATTGCCATTCTTTGTCAGTGCGATCGGTGAATTGTACATGAAATAAACTTTGAATGAGAATAATAATTTTAAAAATAGATACATATACTGTATTGCAACAGCTCTGATTGCAAGCTTCAATTGCAGACTGCTGACCGCTAATAACTTCTGGTGATGCAGTTCATGTCCCACCGTAGGTTAAAGGTGACGTGCTTTTTTATTTTACATTTTAAATACTTTGTGAAAGTGAGACTGATGGGATGCTAAGGATGCAGTGTGCGCTGACACAAAAATATATCATATTAATAACACACACACAGACACACCAATGTTTTGAGTTAGGCTTTTTTTCCCTTCTTCACCCCTCACGATCGACTTGGTACCAGTCCGCAAGCTCCGGGTCGATAGCGATCGACGTATTGAGCACCCCTGCTTTTTGGTATGTCTGTAATTTAACAACAATGAAATTTACTGTGGAGTCATTGCCAAGCAGGAATTGATGACATGCGTGTGCTTCAGATATATGCAGTGACACTCATTATGAATCAAAATACTCTATTTGTAGTCATAGACTACCCAAGGAAAAAAAAATTGTACGTTCCTCAATGAGTGCTCGATATTATGGTGGATGCAGCCATCTAATTACTATTAAAAACCATTTCTGATCTATATAGGGACCTACATTGGTTGCTTCCTGCACAACATCAGCGAGCGAGCCCTTGGAGGAATTATGCTTTATGACCTGCGGAAAATGACCAGCTCTCTGTGTCAAGACACCTGCTCAGAAAGGTAATGCTTTTTTTTATTTTTTTTTCATGGAGCCTCTATTGGGGGGGACCACAGAAGCCCTGCTGTTTGAGTAAATGCTCTGGCTCTCAGTCTACTTCATGAAAGCCTCCTGTGTGTTGAGCCAGCGGAGCGCCAGGTGGCTAGATGACAGTAAAAGATGAGGCGGGGTGAAAGAAGCAAATATAAGGCCGGATCTGTTGCAAAAGTAAGAACCGGCCAGGTGTGTGTGTGTGTGTGTGTGTGTTTGTGTGTGTGTGTGTGTGTGTGTGTGTGTGTGTGTGTGTGTGTGTGTGTGTGTGTGTGTGTATACGCGTGTGGGTGTTTTTGAGAGCTTCATTGGATGACATCAACGGCTTGCTGCTAGAGCAGCTACACTTCACGAAATCGTCAAGGAGAGCATGACTGCATTAAAAAAACGTGGAGAAGCAGGTGGATTTCTTCAAAGCGAAATCAAGAAAGGAATTATTCTGTTTAAGACTTTAACACCTGAGATGAATGCAGATTTGCCACTCACTGCTCAAACAAGCAGCCAAACCTCCTCCACGTAGCCCCTTGGCCCCTCGTTCACTCCTGATTCACACCGACTGAAATCCTGCTCGTTAACCGACTGGGCCAATTACTGCGACTGGCAAAAACTAAAAAGTCAAGGCAATTTATGAGGAAGCGCCAAACGCAACTATGTAAAGGTCAGGTTTGATGAGGTCTCTGTCTTTGCCGAAGAACAGAGGATAACGAGGGAAGTAGTGAGAAGGAGTCGCAGCAGCCTACAGATGACAGGTGTTATAGCTCAAAAAAAGAATTTGCTAGATGAGTAAAGGAGGATGTGGTATAACGATCACATCATGTACTATAGATTAGATGAGAGGAGATTTGACACAAGGGATGTATTGAAATAATCACAAATGTCCTGCGGAGTGTACTTAGCCTGAAGGTTATCGACCAACTTTACTTTGGGTGATAACTAGTAATAATTACTGGATATATATCAATATATGTATATATATTTTTTGTGCGGGTGTGTGCTGTTAGTGGGTATCAGTTTGCAGGTTTGGAGTATGGCGCAGAATGTCACTGTGGGAACAGAATCAACAGCCCGCAGGTTGCCGAGGAGGATTGTAGTCTGGCCTGTCGGGGTGAGAGGGGTTCTCCTTGTGGCGGCGTGGGACGTCTCTCCATTTACAAGGTGCAGGAGCAGATGCCCGGTCACCGAAAATGTGAGTCAAGTCATCCTTAGTGAAAATGAAAAGAAGTTTCTTGATTCTTTGCACACAATGAGCATATAAATGAAAATAAAGTGGAATTAACCATCGGGTTAGGGGAAAAAAAATTTAAAAATGGAAATTAAAGTACAGTTGAACCTCACGATCCATTGTGAAAATGTTCAAATCATTGGCACACATTTTAAATGCATTGAAAGAAAAATTGAATGAGCGGGACTAAACCAAGAAATAATGGGGTCTGGCGCCAAGAAAAAAAGCAAATAAACATTTAAAAAATGTAAGACTTCATTAATATTTTCAATTAATGGAAAACAATTAGCGAAAATGTGAATCTGTGAGTGTGGGGGTCTACTCTAACCCATTCCTGACTCACCAACATCTGTTTCACCATTTGTAACTTTCCATGTAGACCACCAACCACAACATCCATCCGCGGACCATGGCGTGTTGGCCGGCCTGGCTGGGTCGGCTCGTGCTCCTCGCGACGGCGATGTTGCCGGCGTCAACTATTTAAAATCGCTCTTTAAAATCGCATATTCAGTTTAAATTCATCTCTCCTTTTATTATTTATAATTTTATCTGTGGTTTTATTGTTCTTGTTTTGGTTGTAAAGTGTCCTTGAGTGTCTTGAAAGGCGCTTATAAATGAAATGTATTATTATTATTATTATTATCCATCCATTTTCCGATTGGTTTACCGTCACACGGGTCGCTGGGGGTGCTGGAGCGTATGCCAGCTGTCTTCGAGCAGTAGGTGGGGTACACCCTGAACTGGCTACTAGCCAATCACAAGGCACAAATAGACATACAACCATTCGCGCTCACACTCATACCTTCGGAAAATTTTGAGTGTTCCATTAACCTGCCATTCATGTTTTTGGAATGTGAGAGGAAACCTGAGTACCCGGAGAAAACCCACGCAGGCACGGGGAGAACATGCAAACTCCACTCACAGTGCAGGGTGAGGCGGATGTGTTAACCAGTCGATCACCATGCCGCCAGCCACAGCATGTTACATGCACGCTGAATATCGTGGCTCATCAAAGTCGCGTCTGTGACACGTAAAAAAAAAAAATGAACAGCATTAAAAGAAACGACACTGAAAGTACCGCAATTTAACACACATTTAACGACGGAGGGTTTTTTTCTCCCCCCAGTCAGATGGCATTGCAGTACCTTCCAGATTTGACGGTGGAAACTGTTATGCCAGCTGTCCTTTCCATCAGTCAGGCCGAATGCATTACAGCGCAGAGGGTGCACTGAATACTCGAAATTGGACAAAGGTGTATACGTCAGTTTCAATGGTTGTGAATATTTTAAATTATTTAAATTTTATATATATATATATATATATATATATATATATTGTTTTTTATTATTATAATTATTAATATTTGATACAAAGAAAATAATGTGAAAAATCAAACATATCCCAAGCAACGCTGATGTCATGCGATGCATGTACATGTACAAGACAAATTGTTTCCTGTTACAGCCATGCCATTTCCATTAACCCTTTCAGGGACAGCGGCTACTACAGTGCACAGCTTATCATGTTATCGGGTTACAGGGCGCATGAAAGGGTTAAATTATAAAATCGTCAAATAGAAAGATAACGTCATAACCATCCGTTTGTTTTCCGTCCTCTTTATGATCGCAGTGAATACAGCGGAGTCCATATGCAGCCTATCCCAGCTAACTTGAGGAGAGAGGTGGGAAACATACAGTATGGACAAAAAAAAAAAAATCTGCACTCACAATCGCACACCGACAGTTTGGAGTACTCAATTTTAATCGAATATGGAATGTTTTTGAAATACAGTGGGAAGTCAGTGTACTTGGAGAAAACTTAAGGGAGAGAAGGGTGCAGTCGAGAGTCGAACATTTTCACTCAGAGACGGGCTAACCACTAAATTTGCCATATTTTCAGCGTCTTTTATCACCGCTGCAACCTAAGTTGAGGCTAATGAGACAAGATCTCTGCATGCTGCTGAACAGATTGGTCTGGGAAAAAAAAACAAACACTGTCACACAGTCGCCCTACTTGAAGCACAAGTGTGCTTCTTCATCTGATGAGGAATATTTCTATCTGGATGCACTCTCTCGAGGGCCGGCACAAAGTATGTCAACGTCAACTTGCTGACAAAGCAATTCAACAGCAGTTCAGCCTCGGCCTCTCAATCCACTTGTGTCCTCGAGCCATCTTTAAATCCTTGAAAAATATGTTCCATCTCTTTTTATCCGACCGCCATGCCCATTGAGGATTCATACAAACAAGCCTTGAGTGTTTTTCTCAGCTCAGGAAATAATTCACATCGATTTCCCCACCTGGTTGTATTCAGCACTCTCCCATTACGGTTTTAAATATTGCGAGTCGTTGAAATTTGTGCGTTTGCAAAATTGTTTGCGCATGTTTACATGGTGATCACAATGATTTAGCGTGTCATCCGTGTGCCTATGTAGCCAAGAGTTCAGGTCACCTTTTTTTTTTCACCATGTACCAAATCAAATCTTACATCGACCTCAAAAGTTAAAAGATTTTGAGTTTGAGTCTCGCTGCGGCCTTCCTGTGCAGCGTTTGCACGGTACTCCGGCTCCCTTCCCATTTTAAAAACATGCACGTTTGCTTCATTGATGAATTGCCAATATGAGATCATGAGAATGGTTGTTTGTTGTCAGTCACAATGTATTAGAAAACAGTGGAATGGAATTTTCGATTGTTGGTTTTCTTTTGCTCTGGGTGGAAGTGCAGTGTAAGTCAAGTACAACTACAAACTAAAGTACGATAACTAGGCTTTATTTTAAAAAAGAATGGATTTCAAATACAATATTGAAATGCTTTGAAAGAGATTGGTTGTTGCAGTTGTTTTGATATTGTGCTGTTTCTGTTTCAAATGATATGAGTTACTCTACGTCTAGTTCAGTGGTTCTTAACCTGGGTTCGATCGAACCCCAGGGGTTCGGTGAATCGGTCTCAGGGCTTCGACGGAGCTTCTGCCATGGAGGGCAAGACACACCCGACTCACATGTCAATTAATTATGACATGCCCGCTTGGCCATCACTGGCTGCAGATGATCACATTACATTGCTTGTCCAATCGGTGCTGTGGGAAATTTAGTTCACTTAGTAGTCAACGTGTGACTGTCGTGATAGTACATATATATATATAATTTTTTTTTTTCGCAAATGAAAGGTTCAGTGAATGTGCATATTAACTGGTTGGGTTCGGTACCTCTAAGAAGGTTAAGAACCGCTGGTTGAGTATAAGGCTGCTATGTCAGAAAAAATTATTTTGAAAGCTAATCCCACACAACCAGTTCAGGGTGTCCCCCGCCTACTGCCCGAAGATGGCTGGGATAGGCTCCAGCACGCCGTGTCTCTTGTGAGGATAAGTGGTTCAGATGATGGATGGATCGCTAATTCTAAATAGTGAGTTATGTTCGTAAATGAGTTTACTGAAATCTATTGGTTATATTTGTGTGTGTTTTTGTTGTTCCTTGCTTTTGCCACAGTCAGGAATGCTCACCAGCGAGGCTGCTTCAAATTGGGGAACAACACAACCAACAACTTCCCAATTCACTCATTTCAAACCAATCTCACTTCACAGTCCTGCATCGAGACTTGCACCGACAAGGTTTGAATAAATTTCTTACCACTAAAGACTTGGCCACTGTCGTGAACCTTGTTTTGCCCATGACAGACTTCCACATCGGCAGCCCACAGTCTTTGGCATGCCCTCACAATCTATATTAAGTAAAAATAGAACATAAAATATTTGGTGCTTGTATTTTGTTGTGCACGTATTGTGTCCTCAATGTGGCCACCGTAGCAAAATTGTCACCACATTACGTGACTTTTCCTTTCCCCCCCTGGCAACAATTTAAATTTTATATATATATATATATAAATTAATTTTTATTTTGTATTTTTATAATGATTTTTTTTTATTATAGGAAAAAAATTGCGGGTAACATTTTAGGGTGGCCCTGAACCACTGTTTCACATGCGTGTCCCGTTTGGAAAATGAATGAATTACCCACCCCTGGCCTATGACATGAAGAGAGCTTCTGGGATTTTGCATCAGATCAGCCTTTTTCCTCCTCTAATGAGAAAGATATAATCTGAATTCTATAGTGACATCCTGCAGGCAGCTTGGTCCCCTCCCAAAGATGGAATGGCGTGTAAAAATATTTTTCATGACTGTATGGGATTAATTATCACAGTGAGCATGTCTGTGTAATTATGCAAAACTTTTTCATAAGTTTTCCATGGAGTGTTCGCCCTAGTTACTGGACACTGAAGGCTCTGTTTTTTGAACATGCACAAGTCGGTGCACCACACTCTATAAATATCTGTTGAGTCGGGTTTGACCGGGTGTTGGTAATTTCACGGACACGCTCAAACCGGTACATTTAAAAAAATGGCAATTTGCGCCATTGTGAGCGTGAACACAGTGCAGTCCATTCGCTGTCAATCAACGCAGCTCCTCCTGTTCCCTTTAAAACATGGAAAAGAAAGCAGGAAGCCGTGCGTTCCCGCAGAATTTTCATTTCTTTTTGCCGGTGTGAAAACAGGCAACATAAATGGGTACCCGCATTTAATATGTAAACGAGATTCTGGCAGACCTCATGTATCTATGCCTCCACCCTCCGGATCGGTTGTCTGTTACCCCTCCAGAGATGCCTACTGACGAGTAGGATGAGTTTAAAAAACAAAATAGAACGTTTGGTGTTATCAATGTACGTGTGAGAAAATATTAGGGAGGTGTGTTTCACCACTTGGGGTCCGAGTGATACATTGTAAATAAACCGGATGAGTCATGAAATACATGCTCATTTGTGCATCTGCCTTGTAGGAGCTCCCGCTTGCCGTGTTCAAGAAGCCCCATTGTTTCTGTACTTGGACATCCTCTCTCTTCAGTCTGGACCAGCAGTCTGCTCGAAATCGATGTTTGGAAAACACGGGTATGGACAGCATCAGTAACTCCACTCCTCCAACATCGATTGGGCAGGACTACTATCAGGTCTATCACACGCCTGTTCTTGGTGAGTTATTTGTTATAACTGTGATATATAAACCTGTGTCAGTGTTTTTTTTTTTTTTTTTTGCATGTGGCGTCTGTAGTTTGAAATTAAGGCTAAGCCTGATTGAGCCGTTATCAAAAGGAGATTCTACACAGGAGGAGAGACCTTCGAGACTTGATGAAGCAGCCAATCAATAGAGAATTACAATCATACAGCAAAGAGACCCCTTTTTTTTTTTTTTTAGTGTTGGCTTTATTCAAAAGATTAACCTTGTCGAGCTACATGGTGAGAGCAAGATTTCAAAAATACATTTACTATGAAGGAGTGCAGTTGTAAATCCATTGCCAACTACACCCACTAGCATACAGTTATCATTAAAATAGTTTTAGTTTGTCTCACTGGATTGTGTGACAAATCCACTGGGGTAGTATATTTCTTTGGCCAAATCTAATCAGACATCATATATACATGTCAATCCAACGACCCAGGAAGTTCTGTCTGCACATGCTGTCTTGACGTAATGTGCAGTGACATCGTTTTATGCACTTCAAAATGGCGGCTTCGAACCACAGTTGGTCTGCAACAGGAGAGCTACTTTTTAACGACCGTATTTTCCGCACTGTAAGGTGCTTTGGAGTATAAGGTGCACCTTCAATGAATGGCCTATTTTAAAACTGTTTTCATATATAGGGCGCGCCGTATTATAAGGCGCATAGAATAAGAGCTACAAAAGTGGCTGCGGTTGTGCTACACATCCACTAGATGGAGCTACGCTAAAGGCAATACAATACAGCGTTATTTATATAGAGCTTTCACAACCGCTGTCGCTGTAACAAAGCGCTTTACAGAACATTTAAAACACTACGTCCATGTATAAGGCGCAACAAATTATAAGGCGCACTATCGGCTTTTGAGAAAATGGAATGCTTTTAGGTGCCCCTTATAGTGCGGAAAATACAGTACTTGCAGCTTGTTTTTATAAAGCTGTTGCTTTTATTCAAGCGTAAAAACAGTCACATTTTACTACGCAAAATAGACAACTCATGTGAGTTCTTCTTATGTGAACTTCTGCATATGCGCCGAGCATGCCACCCTGCCTCAGCTCTCACAACAGTCCAGAAATCTTTTAAAGAGCTCCAGTGGTTCAGCAGATTTCGATTTTTCCGGATGACAAGACCGTGCCAGAAGGCTCTGCCTTCATTTGATGATTTCAGTGAACCCCCACTGTTTACAGGTAATTGGGACCAAGCCTTGCCGCTAATTGTGATAATCCACGAGTATATGACACCCCCTCTAAAAGGGTTTCATGGTTCCCAACAAATGTGGCAAATGACATGTCTTTTTTTTTCTAAATGAAGCTCATCAATTCTCTTCAAATAGTTTCTTTGGCACAACTATGCCACTATATGGCACCAAAGCAATACTGTTCCTGATTTGTCCCACCACAAAAAGAGTGAATAGCTGAATTTTTAATAGGCAACCTTAAAAATTCGCAGAGGCCAATTGTCGAACGCCAAATCACTAATGTGCTGAAGTTCACTGTCGTTGGAAAGTGGAACATTTGAGGAACAGAGGGGTAAGGAAATGGAGGACAGGAGTCCTCTGGCTTCCTTTGTACGCTAAGCTTTGCCAGGGACAGTATTTAATTCTTGAAGTAAATGCACTACAGTAATCCCTCGTTTATCGCGGTTAATGGGGACCAAAACCACCCACGATAAACGAAAATCCGCGAAGTAGCGACCCCCCCCCTCCATATAGGTACATGTACATAATATTTATAAGGCCAAATTTAATGGTATACATGCATGTAGAAGTAAATTTTGAAGTAATTAACATGACTTAATGCTGTATACTAATAGATTTAAACATATATGTGAGGTTAGTTTATGAATAACAAAATACAGTAACAACAGCGAGTCACATAAAGCAACATATACAGTACTGTACTACATGTATATGAATTTTTTTTTTTTTTTTTTTTTTATGAATATGTTTGAAAAAATCCCTGATGCACTGAAGCCGCGATAAACGAACCGCGAAATAGCGAGGGATCACTGTATATCAGTGTAAACCAGTGTTTCTCAAATAGTGGCCAATATTGCCAACAATCATGCCGCTTTGTGACTGCTACTTCAGTCCACTAAAATACAGGTCCCAGCTACACACTGAGCAGGAGCCGAGAGTTGCTGTGTCCTGCTTCAAACCTCGCTTCGAAAAGATGTGCATTGCAAACCGTGCTCATTGTAGCCATTAATCCAGACAGCATCTATGATTAAAAAAAAAAAAATCAGCACAAATTATTTCATATATTTTTGTTTTGCAGGTTAAAGTTTTTTTTTATATATTGTGTTCCTGAGTTAATGTTGGTGATCAGTTTGAATGCATTATTATTGATTTCATGTTATTTTTCAGTATCGTATGGTTTGACATGGTCAGTCAAAAATGTTTACAGTTTAATTAAGGATTTAATTTTATTTTTGAATTTCAGATGCACTTTAAATCTTTTCTGTTACAGTTCATAAAGCTATTCTTTGTTGTAAGTTGGTCCATATTTCTTTCTTTTTTATAGGTTTCTTATAGGTTAATAAGAATACAGTGTTATGCAGAGGTGATAGACAAATGATACTATTTATAGTCGTGGGGGGGGGCGTGCGATGTTTTCTTCTTCCGGGGGGGGGCATGACAGAAAATAATTGAGAAGCACTGGTGTAAACGGTGGTGTCCGACTGCGTTGTGTTTCAGAAGATTGATGACGCACGGCAGGATTTCTTGTGTTGGTTGCGTTGAATCATCTCACTTCACAAAGCCTGACAAAAACAATGTCCTCCTCCCCAATTATATTGATCCAGCAGACCCTAATACAAATTATATGGCACAGCAATGTATTAAAATACTTAAACTTGTACATGAAAACAAAAGTTTCTCCAGCAATAAAAAAATGCTTACCTCCCCATGGACATTAAGAGAAAAAGGGGAGAGTCAAAGGCATGAGTTCAACATGAAACAGGCAGGGCCACATTCATTATTGAAGTAGGGGAACACGCCAATTTTTTTCTTCCACCCTTTGATACTGGAGGATCTCGTAAAAGATCACGTCAGGATTATCATTTCACAGATGTTTTTTTACTCACCCTGGAACACATGAGCTAGATCTTATCAGCCAGGACTCTTTCAGCTTCCTGACAAAAATAAACACACAAAAAAAAAACAAACTGCTCTCCTAGACTCCAGGTGCAAGGAGAGGATGTTTCTACCACAGAGATCCAGCTCTGTCGTGGCTCTCTCCAGTTTTCCCGGTGCCGGCAACACTTGGGTCCGACACCTGATCGAGCTCATGACAGGCTACTACACTGGCAGCTTCTATTTTGATGGCACCTTATACAGCAAAGGTGGGAATGGCGTCATTTCTGGTGTGTTTTGACAACCGTTGATGGACAGATGTTCATTTTATTTTGTTTACCTCTGCCAGGTTTCAAAGGAGAGAAGGACTTCTGGCGGAGTGGTCGCAGTATTTGTGTCAAGACTCATGAGAGTGGAAAGAAAGAGATTGAGATGTTCGACTCCGCCATTCTGCTGATTCGGAATCCTTATCGGTCCCTGATGGCTGAATTCAACCGCAAGTGTGCCGGACATTTAGGCCACGCTTCAGATGCCCAATGGAAAAGCAAAGGTAACATTCTATTCTTCATACCCATACGGTCTAGTGCAGGCGGGATATGTTCTAAGAAAATTTAAAAATAAAAAAACTCACTAGTGGGGTAATATTTTGATTTCCTAGTCATGTAGGAATGTGCAATTGAAAATGGAAACACTTGGAGAAATACAGGGGTGACATTTATCTGTTTCCTATTGGTTGTTAAATGATCAAAATGGTCGGTGGGTTCACCTACGGCGGACGAATATCATTAATTATTATTAACAATATTTGAGCAAGTTTCTCATGTCAGAAGTATTTGTCAAACCGGTAGCCCTGCGCTTAATCAGTACCCGAGAAGTAGCTCTCACTTTCAAAAAGGTTGATGAACCCTGGTCAAGTGGTTCTATGTACAGCTGAGTCACTGACGAAAAAAAAAATGCGGGCATTTCTGTGAATAATCATTCAATAAAAAAATTTAAAAAAGTAATATTGTTTTTTTTCTATTCGGAAGTAATTCTTCAATTCTCAATCGAAAGAAAAATCTTTTTTGAGCCTTTCTCAGGTATGTTTCTAATTACATAATTACATTATCTGTCTCATAATTACCTTCTGTAAGAAATGGTGAACAAATCAGTCCATGACAGTAAAATTAAACTTTGTTTGTAAATTTATTTTATACAATTACCCACAAACAAAAAGCCATTTAATATGTACGGTATATGATGTGTTGCTCTACTTACATTAAGGATAATTTTTGACCATAATGTAATAATTTTTCTAAATCAGCACAGTGCATCTTGGGACATATTTAATTTTCTAATGATCATTGTTGTTCACTACTTTTCAAGATGCATTTTGGGCAACATTGAGCAGACTGTAAAATGGATAACCTATTCTCACGACACATCAAGACAGCACTTATAAACGAGTGTACTCACTACAGGGCACTAAATAATCGAAAGTAGGTGATTCCGAACAAGACCCTAGTTCTACCATAAGCAAGAATCAAGAGATTTCATGCATTGTCGTAAAACAAAAAAATATATATATTCCCAAACTTGTGTGCAATTGGCCATTCCTTCAGATTAACCCTTCTTAACTTTCTCAGAAATGTGATCTTTTTTTTTTTTAACAATCCTATTGGCCTCTGCCACTTATGAAAATTATACGGTAAACGCCAAAAAAGCCTCACAATTGATTCTGGAAGAGTGACTTTTAATGATGATAATGCAGGCATGGAAAACTGGCGGCCAACAGACTTCTTCTGGCCCACACTCTCACTCATTGTAGCCTGTGAGTCTGAGAATTCTGTTTGAATCAGATCCAACTTGTAATGATTCTAATCACGGGCAACAGGCGTTAAACACAAACAGTGGGAAAAAAAAAAAAAAAAAGCTGGACAAGCTGGCGAGTAAAGTAAATCACATCAATAGTCTGCTCTATGGGGCGATGCGCATCGACAGTGCATCAGCTGTTTGCGAGAACCAGTTTTAGTCTTCCAGACGGACTGTGCCCGTTGGAGTCAGTTTCTTGGCACCTGCTGAGGGCACCTGATGGCCCTTTTCCACCGTACTTGTGCTAGTGCTCGTTCCGGGCCAATACCCAGGTTATCGAAATAGAGAAATTTGTGAAGTTATAAGCTTGTTACTTGAGTCTGAGTTTTAAATTAGCCACACTGTGGTGAAACTGTGTCCATGCACATATGTTTTGAAAGTCTGACTTTTGATAAGAAATGTGACGCAAACGCATCTGAAAACTGAGGTTCGACTGTGTACTACAATGAATAAAATGAAAGTAGTTGCGAATCTACGGTGAATGTCAAATCAATCCCACGTTATGCTGTACCGCAGAATGGCCAGAATTCGTCTCCAGCTACGCCCCCTGGTGGGCATCCCATGCATTGAGTTGGCTGAAGTTTGGACGTCACCTCCAGGTGATCCATTATGAGGAGCTCCAGAGGGCTCTCCTCCCGCAGCTCCGACTCATCACGGCCTTCCTTAACATCACCGCGACTGAGGAGCGACTGATCTGTGCTCAGAGCAACCAAGATGGCTACTTTAAACGACCAGGGGCCCAGCAGCCATATTTTGACCCATTTACACCTCACATGAGGCAAATGATTAACACCTTTATTCATACTGTCGATGCGGCACTACAGAGCAGAAACTTCAGTGGACTTCCAAGAGAATACATTCATAGATGATGGCGTGGGAAATTCATCCAAGTAGCTGTCAATAGAGCAACACACACCACACACAGACACACACACAGACACACACACACACACACACACACGTACTGGCCAATGTTAATTTGACCAAGAGCTTCTTTGTCAGGGCCAGATGCCCCATGAGTGGAGCCACACGGTACAAAACAAATCATCGTGCCATCATTCAATGAACCCTGAAGCCTGCATTAAAAGCCTGCAGGCTGGACCCACTTCTCCGTGAGCAACAAATATGATGAATGCTAAGAGAGGATTTCACAAAGATGTGTGCGGCACCACAAGTGGATTATCGAGCAAAGTGTCTGACTGCACAAAAGGATGATTGTGCAAATTGAAGATGGAAATGGTTTTCTCAACTTCTCTGTAAGATTTTTCTTTTAGCGTACACCCACATTAATACAGACGACAGCGGCTAAAGACAGATTATACAGATCTGCAAATCTGCCGCTGCCTCAAATTTACTACATGCTGCAGACTTTTAATGCAATGACTGGACTGAATTCCTGCTGTGAAATGCATCTTTTCATTAAATCCATTTACATTGCAATTTAAGAGATGTTAAAATTGAATGAATGAATGAATTCATGAATACCAGATGCAAAGTCATACTCTTGGTCTGCTGGTGGTATGCTTGTCAGGGATCTTCTCTGCTGGGCTGAAAACTTTTAGAAGCACAGAGCAACATTTAGAGTTTACATGAAATGGTATTCACTTACTTTGTATTTTTTAAAGTCTGTCGCCTTCATTTTCGAGCAGGTCTTGGCTGCCAGCTTTGATATCTTTTCATCCAGTCAGACTTCACCTTTTATATGTTGCCATGTCATGGAATTTGCCGATGTTGTAAATCTTTCTCGAATCCATTCCAAAAAAAACCCCAAAACGTTGGCAATCAATCTCTCAGTCTTTGTTAGCTCTTTCTGACAATGTGGCCACGTTCGACGTTTCTTGACATTCTGTCAATTTTCTGGAGGTTTGCCCCCTAGTGGTGCCCCTGTTCACACACAGACACGCCCACGCAACCACACAAATATACATACAGTAGAGAGAGAGGGAGAGAGAGACTTGCTTCGAGTCAAAAATAATAAAATCCAATCCATGGAATTGCCATGAATTGAATTTTACTTACTTATCAGTCGGTTCTGACCTTGCTGTAAATGAAATCCCTGTGTCTTAAGAGTTCTGTCTTATATATCACAGGTTGGCTGCAACAGAAAAGACTGTACAATTAAATGAATAATTATGGTTGCCAGTGACAATAGGTCAATGTGTTCAAAATAAAAACATAAGAGTTGATGCAAAACTCAAGTTGTGGGTGGAGCCGCACTAAATGAACGACGCACAGAACCAAAACACCAACAGAATCTAACCTGTACAATAAATAAATAAAATCACGATTGTGGCAGTCGAAAGGAGCACACACGATTGACTGTAAACACGTCTTTATTCCACGACTGCCAACAAGTGGATCTGAACAATTACGACATTGCGCCAAAGACATTCACATAAACACGCCCCCTACAGTATGCCTGCTGCGTGAGAAGCATGGTCTTAGTGTCCGCCAAACAGACCCCCAGAACACCCAGAAGGACATCAAAATGAAAACTTCACAGGGGGTTTAATTAGCCTGTCACACTTTGCACGGCGAACTGTCGTATCGCCGGGAGAACTCGATCCGCTTCTTCAGCCAAACCCCGATAATCGCCCGTTGCCAGACGTGCTGAGTTAGCCAACACGCGCGCACTGGGGTTGGTAGCTGGCGTAGGAAAATGCGCGGGAAAAGGAATCCGCCTTCATCGGAGCCTAACAGCGACAGCATTTTGTCCATCAGATCCACTGCCGTGCCATCGCCCAGCCCGGGAAGGGAAAGGAATCCGTCTGTTCTCTCCGAGTCCGATAAGCTGAACCTCCTGAGCAGAAGCTGTTTGAGCGCCCGCAAGAGCTGCATCGCACGACGTGTAGTCTGCTGGTCGAGGGACGCCACGACCATGTAATATTTCGGCTCACCGGTAGTGATTTCCCGTAGGTGGAAAAGCGCTTCCACATGCTGAAACCACGAAGCCGGGTCGCTCTGCCAGAACTCCAGTAGCCTCGCGGCAGAGGCGGCGGCTGCAAGTTGCGGGAGTTGGGGCGACGTGGCCGAGGAAGACACCTCTTCATCCGTTATCCGAAACATCTTAAACGTCGGGGTCACCAATGCTGGCAGTCGAAAGGAGCACACACGATTGACTGTAAACACGTCTTTATTCCACGACTGCCAACAAGTGGATCTGAACGAGTGATGTGTCGGTCGCGAAAGAGCTGGTACAAAGAGCCGGCTCTTCGAAGTGAACAAGGAGAGCCGGTACCCTCCCTCGAGAGCCGGCTCTGTCATTTTCCTTCTCTCTCTCTCTCTCTCTCTCTCTCTCTCTCTTCTCCTCTC